AGATAAAGCATTTATTAGAAGCAAAGTACATGTGGAAGATCATACAGGTGGACTTGGAGTGAGGCGCAGAATGGGGATGGCTTAGGTTGCTTACGTGGATACAGTCTTCCAGAGTGTCTCTGGCCAATCATCTCACTTGTGTCCATACTTGGCTGGACTCAGGGCCCTCCCTGGTACATGAATCTCTCAATCAGATGGATTCCAGTATGAAGGTTTCTGGGAGCTTGGCAGGACATACTATGGGTTGACACCCCTCCTTCCTTTGAACCCTGAGGACCTTCTCTATGCCTGTGTGGGCTAGGAAATCCCTTTGACCACAAGAATGTGAAAAATGTGGTCACTCTGTCTTTCACCCAGTCAGGGCCTGATGCTCCTGCAGGTGTCTTATCTCAAGGTGTTAGCAGGGGCCAGTTGTAGCTGCTCAGCCTGGGGCCCATCTATCTCCTACCTCGAAACTACAATTGTTTTTCCTGAAAAAACATAACCAAACACTTCAGTGCTCTGACAAGAATGGCCATTCAGTGGTGATACACTTATCTGTGCAAAATTTGTTGCTGGTTACAGATACAATAACAAGGGTGGAAATTTTGCAATTATAAGGATATAGTTTATCCTCAAATCTATAATGAAAATGTGAAACTTTCTGTAGTTCCTCAATTATCACAATTCACCTGTTGCAACATGCTACTTTTGTCTCTACTTGAAACGAGTTCATTATTGATCACCTATTGTGTGCAGTGGTCACTATAACATAGTGCTTTAGAACGCAAGCTAAGATGCAAGGCAGATGATTGTACTACTTCCTACTTACGTAAGTAGTGCCAATCACCCTCAGTGAGACTCAAGTTTCCTCTCCTGTGAAATGGATATAATGGTGACACCTACCTCATATGAGAGTTATGAGGATATAATGAGAAAATGCATTTAGAACAGGGGATAGTATAAAGTAAGCACTCACTACCTGTTAGTTCTCACTATACGCCAAGCTGTGGGTTTATATGGGTGTATAAAAGAGACAGGATCCCTGCCCTTAAGAAGCTTATACTCTTACAGTTAAGGTGTACAGGTAAGCAAAGAATTATAGTTTTTAAGAAGTGTGCAGATCAGCAGCTACTATTTTTGAGTTCAGTGTGGGAGCTTCTGCTGAAGTCCGCATATTGGCGTGACCTGCTTCAGGGGCACTCATGCCCGGGCACCTGCTGTAAAGTGCTCTAGACCCACCCCAAGGTCTCAGTTCCCCTGAAACCCTTCACCTTTTACCCTCTGTATTCTGGAGAATTATCTACAGAATTACAAAAAGTAATGAATGAAAAAGTAATCCTGCCTGATTATCTGATGGCTGGAGAAGAATACCCCTTCCCCTAAACATATCATCCTTAATATTTAAAGACAGCACCATAAGCAGGGATTTCTGAAATAAAGCAACTCTAGATACCCACTTTTCATATTCTTTGTCATGTTAAATTAATGCACAGAAGCCTCCTCCTTCCCAGGAGATTTTTGTCCCTAATTCTGTAAGAGAACGATGATATATATATTTCCCTCAAACATACTACTGCCTCATGTATTCTGATGAGAATGGACTACTTTTAAAATATTAAATAAGACAAAACTGAATGCACCTATAACAGCCTCTGGCCCACAAGAAATGAGCCACATTACATGATCTGTTTCTTTCTTACAGATGATTTGTTGATCTCAGTGCATAACTCCAAATAATTTAATTTCAAAGAAGCAGTTCTCAACCCCAGGATGGTAATAAAACAGGTACCTATTGCTTACATAATTAGTAAGTACTTGCTGATTTCCTATCCAAGACCTGGAGGAGTTAAAGATGAGTGTCTAGCAGCCTCTCTTCCCTCTAATCACTGATTTTGGCAAAGGCCATGGTAGTTCACCAGGCATCAGGCTGACAGCATCTCAGACCCACTTGCAGGTCTATTTTAAGCTTCCTGGCTGGCATCACTGAGATTCTACTGGACTATCTCCATGTGGTCACAGCTAACCTCCAATACCCCCAAGGGTTTTTATCATCCACCCACAAGAACACCAGGCCAATCTGGCTGAGCACTTGCTCATCTCCAGGTTTATTCTAGGGCAAGAAAATGACTACATGTTAATGGTCTAATTCAGGAACTGTCTTTCATTTTTGTTATCACAAAAAACACCGTGTAGACAAAACAGGTACTTTTGTGCATTGCTTCCTTTGTACCATACTATTTTAGAAGCCCCTTCCTTTCTCCTTGCCTGCCCTTACAACAATCCTGTGTTGTTCAGTGCTACTTTTATCTACCTTCCAATGTCACAGTGTCAACAGGTGTTCTGGTGACTAAAACAGTCCGTGGGGTCAGAGCAGCAAACCCAAAGACCTTCCCTGGCCTTGGCCAGATGGCCATGTGATAAACAAACAGCACTTCTGAAGCAAGCCTATTTACTGGGTGGCCAAATGGAGCTCCATCTAGAGACAGGAAGAAAGCCAGGCCAGAGGAAAGACAAGATTGAGACACTAAAGAATCTCCCCCAGTGGTACAAGCAGTTGGTTCCTCTGCAGAAGTACTATGACTTTATTTAGAACATACTTATCACTGAATCATACAACTTTGTAGCTAGAGAACAAAACTTACACCTCTAAATGAGTTTATTTCAAAGCCATTACTTTGGGGAGCCTTTATTCTGACTCCAGAAATACTTTGGCATTGCCTTCAGTTCTCATGACAAATTCTTTTGACTATATTTACTGGTGGCGAATACCAATTTTTTGAGAGTGGGTGGTATTTTCAGAAATAGGTCATTCAGAACTATTAGCAGAAGGGAATCAATACTACTTTGGTGTAAAAACCAAGGTGCTAGTTATAGTAAACTAAGTTGGAGTTTCCTGGGCAGATCCAAAAACAATTTGAAAAGGTAATTTAAAAAGTGCTCTGAATAATGGCAATGTTGGTGTGGAATAATGAGATATGCCACCAAGATGATCTGAAGAAGTCATTGATATGGATGTATATATTCTGGAGTCTCATGACTCTATTTTCACAATCACTAGGAAAAAGTTTATAGACAACAGGCAAGCCTAGTGTAAACTTCATTTCTGAGTCCTCAGGCAGAAATTCTCAAAATAAAAATCCACTTACCTTCAATTACCTGGTCTCCATGTCTGCAACGTAGGGGCTAAGAGGTAGTGACATTCCTCATGTAAATAAATTACTTTAACCTGATTTCCTAAGGTTCTAAGAATCTCCAATCTATTAATATTATGACTTCTTAGTATCTAGCTGTAGAACATATTCCACTTGAGGGTCTGGGTTTCCTACTCGCTAGGAGTCCTTAATTAAAACAAACACACTCATCTGGACATGTCTATAATACTAATAATAGCTGATACTTATATAGCCCTTACTACCTGCTTGTACTTACTTAACATGATATGTATCAACTCAATACAACCCTGAGAGGTTAAAAAGTTTTAAAATATTACTATTTTTATTCCTATCTTACTTATGAAAGAACTGAGCCAGGAAGAGGTTGCCCAAGGCCACACAGTAAGCTGCAGAGCTGGGACTGGAATTCAGGCAGTCTATCTCCAGCTGTGCTCTTACTCACTTTGCTATATACCACCCTATACTGCCTCTATGAGACCACAGAAAACCAGATACATAAATCAGATACTCAATAGAATAAAGGACAATGAAAAATATTTACAAACTTGGGCTTCTCTGGTGGCGCAGTGGTTGAGAGTCCGCCTGCCCATGCAGAGGACGCGGGTTCGTGCCCCGGTCCGGGAGGATCCCACGGCCGCTGAGCCTGCGCGTCCGGAGCCTGTGCTCCGCAACGGGAGAGGCCACAGCAGTGAGAGGTACGCGTACCGCAAAAAAAAAAAAAAAAAAAAATATATATATATATATATATATATATATATTTACAAACTTATGGGATGCTCATTTGAGAAGTAGAAAGGAGGGATGAAGTGAGGCAAGACCCATGTAAAATGGGATGAAGGCCACATAAAGATAGCCACAAGAGTTCCATGGGCAGCCTGGTGCTGGGCAAAAAGGCCCTCTAATTTATTTAGAGAATAGAGAAGGCAGTTGGAAAGACGTAGGAGTTATAAAGAACCAGTTCCTGGCACTGTTTTGTGTCTATAAAAATTTTCCTTTATTACATAAAAATCAGATAATGCAAATTAGTAAAAACAAAACTCCACAATACTGTTAACATGACAGTTTTTATATCCAGCTCACATCACTTTATGAACTTTATTTTCTAGTAAGCAGACATGCTTAATAAATCAAAGTAAACTGTTTAACAGTAGGCGGGTTAAGTGCAATGATCTACCTGATACCATCTCCGAGGAAGCTTTTAGAAGTCACTATCAGTGACTCATTTCCCATAAAGAGGGGATTACGTGTGGACAGAAGGAAGTGAAATAGCCCTTGACATGTCTTCCCTTTAACCCCAAGCTGCCAATACCACCCCAATACAACTCGTCTCACAGAAGGGGAAACTGAGTCTTATGGAGAGGAAATGACTTGGATGAAAGTCCTGACACAAGAGTCCAGGGCTCTTCCCACTTCGTCACAAATGCAGACTGCATTCTACCCTTTTCCTTGTAACCATTCAGGGCAAGTAAGTCAATACTGATTTCAAAGCCCTTCAGAAAACGTGAGCACACACCTACTCTACAGGGGAAAGAATTCCTTCATCACAACTTCCTCTTGCTGCTGTTTAGACCGCCTTTCTCTCCCTGGGCCCTGAGAGGTGCCCAGAAAATGACAGAAAACATCCACGGCAACACTCCTAAAATCTGCAAAGTATCAAATGAATGAGACCACAGATACTCCCGGGTTATCACGCCTTGTTATTCCAGGCAGGGGCGACTGCAGCGAATGCAGTTTCCCGTTGGGCAGGGAGCCGCCCCAACAGCCTAAACCTACGAAGCCCCGGCCCATTCGCAAGGCGCGGGGTAGCCTCGGCCAGCCTCCCGCCAGAGGCCAGAGATTCGCGGAAGCCTGCCCGGCAGGCAGAAGCCGGTCCCGGGGCCCAGCTCGCTTTGGGATGCTGGTTCGGCCCAGACGCTTCCTCCAACCCGTTCCGCCGCCAACCCAGTAACGGCGCGCAGCCCCACCCTCCACCAGGCAACCAGGCGCGGGCGCGGTCACGTGAGGCGGGCCCGCGGAACCAATGGGCACCTCGCGCGGAATGGAAGGGATTGTCTGACCCCCATGACGTCACAAAGCCGGCGGGGAGCGCGCCGCTCTTCCGCTCCCACGAGCCGGGCAGCGGCCAGCTCTCCTCCTCTCCGCCCACTCGCCACTGCGCAGCCAATCGGAAGGCGGGAAGAGCTCCGGCCCGAAAGTGTGGGCGGGGTAGCGTGGCTGCCCTGCGGGGCAGGGTCGCTGAGTGGGCCGGGCTGGGGCAAGGGGCCGAGCTACGGGGAGTTGCGCCGGGCTGCGTGGAAGGACCGCCCGGAGGTGCCGCCGCCGCGGCCGCCTCCTTGTTGAGAAGAAGCGGCTCCTCCCCTGCCGTGCCCGGTTCGTATTCCCTACTCCGGGCCCCGAGCCGGCCCTTCCGGAATCCTCCTCCACCATCCCAAAGTTGTGAGGGGGCGGCCGGCGCGCTTGGGGAGCGGCGGCCGCGGGCGTGCGGAGGGACTAACCCCGGAGCGCCAGGTGCGCGTGAGGGCGTCGGGGCCGCAGCGGGCGTGGCGGCGCTGGGGGCAGCCGCAGGCTCGGGGTGGTGGGCGGGCCCGCCGCGCCCGCTGTCAGCGCCGGGGGCGCCGTGGGGACCCGCGGGAGGCTGGGCTCCCGGGAGGTGCGACGCAGGTGGCGCGGCGTCTCTGCCTGAGGGTTTCCCCTTACACACCTCGAGTCCAGGGTGATCCCACAGTCAGCCGCCGCGGGCCGACCCTCAGTTTTCAGGACTGAAGCCGGTGCGGCGTGGGCGGGCGGAGGATGCCGCGCGCCCGTGGGCTCCGCTCCCGGGCTGGATGGACGGGCCGGTCCCGGGGCGCGTTTCTGCGGGCGTTGGGGCCCCCGCCGCCTCCACTGTAGCTCTGCCTCTCCCGCGGGGTGGGTTGGTTTGTTTGGTTTCCTTCTTCTCCCCACCCCTTTTTTCCTCCTCCATCCTCTTCCCCCCTCCTAGCCCCATTCACCGGGCTGGGGCGAGACCTCGCCCCTCCTCCGCTCCCGCCTCCCCTGCCGCCGCCTCCTCTAATGAGCATCTCTGCCTTGCTTTCAATGGGCCGGTGCTGCTGTCGCTGCTGCTGTCCGCGCGGGTTGTGGATGTTGTCGGCTCCGTGTTGTGATGACAGGAGAATGTGTGTGTGTCCCGGGCCCAGACGAATTGGTAGGTATTCACTTAACTACCTGCGTTGGGTACCCAGGAAGGATGTTGACTGATTTTGTGAGTGGATGGTTTTAGGTGGGTCGGCGTGGAATTAAGAGGTGAGATAGATAGCTTTGATACCTTAGTGAGTGCAATTTTCAGGTAGGGACAAAGGAAACTAATCAAACAAGTGCTGGCTTAGGGCTTCGTGTCTTCCGAAGGCAACCGGTTTCTTCATTCATGTAGAGATAACAGGAGCTGTGAAATGTCTAGACATTAACCAAAAATGCTGAAAAATCGCAGAGAGTCTTTATGCAGGGTGTTTAATGCAATCAAATTACGTAAACTGGGGTTCTGACACATTTAATGATTAGTATAGCATTTTTTTTTTCGTTTACACCAAAATTTTTGCAAACCTAAAGAGCTCTGGAGTCGGTACAGTAATTGCATTCTCTAATTTCTTCTGCGAGTTTATTGATGAAGTTGAATCATTTCTTGGCACAAACTCTGTTGAGCACATCAGTAAGAATGGATGGATCTCTTTCCTGTTGCTGGTTACAGCTCATCTTTCCTTATTAGTCGTGGGCAAAATTGGCAAAATCTGCCTAAGACTAAGATGCTGCATATAAGGTGGCTAAGTCTGGATCATGGGATAGGACCTTTTAAGTGAAATTGTGGCCAGAAATAACTGGAAAATTTGACAGTGCTTCAGTTTACCACAACTGTACCTTGCTGCGGTTCTTCCTGCCTCATCAAGAGCCGTCTACTTCATTAATTTAGCAAGTTTGTCGACAGAAGTTTTGATTTCATGGGGTTTTGTTGTTGAATCACAGGATATTCAGAAGGATACTCAGAGTTTTTTGAATGCTCACTTAATGGTTTACGAAAGCATTTGAAAGTACTTCGACTTCTAGTAGTAACTGGTCTGATGGAGAGAGTATGTTACTTGTACTGGTGGTGATAGAATGTTCATTAATCACAGAGAAGGTAACTTCCCTAAGAATTTGACTTTTGGAGGCATGTTGGGAGTCAGTCCATATGCTAAGCCCCTGAGTAACTGAAAGAGTTAATAAAATTCACTCTCTGCTTTTTTGTTTTTAATGTTGAGAATTTATGCCTGAAGGAAAAATGTATGTTAGAGTGCTTGCTGTTTGAATTTACGTATTACTCAAAGCATCTGCTGCATGAATCGGTTCTTTTTGCCACAATAGTTCATTTTGCAGTCAATTTCAAAAGCAGGAGGATTGTCAAAGCAAAGGAATTTAAGGAAAGTGTGGGTTTCCTGGACTTGTTATTCCTTGATCAGACACCATATAGCCAAATCCTGGTATGCATCTATCTGTGAAAACCCCCCTCCAAACACACACACACACACACACACACACACACACACACACACACACACACACAGTACTTTGATTCAATCTACATTCCATACAGAAATACACGTTTTCCCTCTAAGATTCTTAAGTTTTAAAGTAAGCATAAATGCAAACGTATATAAAGTTACAGAGAAAATTTATTTTCATTAAGATTGGTGTCTGTTTACATTTTTAATAACAGAAAAAATCTTTATACAAAGCATGAAATAAGTTAATGTGCTTTCTGCATACAAACCTAGCAAGAGATATGATTCATATCTAGAAGCCAGTGTCATGTGGCCCCACGTTTGAGCACATCTCCTGGCTCAGTCATGTACACTTAACCTTTGGATGACTTTCAGGTATTCAGTTTGAAGTGCCGTTAGTTAAGTGGTTAGTCTTGATAGATTCCTGTTCTTCTGGAATTTCTGTTTTTCATGACTGCCTTTCAGAATACTTATTTAGTTATTGATTTTATTTCCAAAATTCTAATCATTTCCTTCTGTTGCCTAATCTTGTCCTCAATTTTGTAAACAAATCCCTTCTTAAATAGTGTAGTTAAAATAACGGTACTTTCTATCACATGCAAAAGGAGTTCTATATGACTGGCTTATACAGCACTTATTACAGAAGCAAATTCAGTGTTTTCTCTGCCCCCTTCACCGCATTCCACTTATCTTTTTTCTAACTGTGTTTCAAAAGAGGGTGCGTGAAAACAATGTAATATATTCTAACACTCTCTATGATATTTGTAAAATGTTTTCTTACTGTGTTCAACCTTAGGAAGGAATAGTTGATATTCAGACTCAGATGGTTTTATATTCCTTATTCCCTTTTGTTTACTGCATTTGTTTTCTTATTTAAAATATAAAGCCTGTTTATTTATAGGCCAGATGAATACTTTGATGCAATACCTCAAGAATTCGGGGGAAATATATGTTACAAGAGGGATTCTCTTGTAAAAATTACCTGAATTAATGATACATGTTTATTAAATTTTCTAGATAAATGCCCAGCAAAATGTTTTCAGTGTCACATAGTAAGTTACATGATTTTGGTTTATTCATGATTATAATGCTCTACCTTTTTTAGCCAAACCTTAGACCATTAGACTACTATTTCACTGTTTATTAATTTCCAAGTGCAAATAGATAACCTTTTTATAAAATGTAAGAGAAAATATTTTTCTAGGGGTGAATTCTACTTGGGATCCATTGTAGACGAAAATCATATTTCTGTAGCTTTCTTTCATGGCTGATAAGCAGAGGAAAACGGTAGCAAGTAAATTAAATTCCAGAACTGCGACCATTTATGTTATTAACAGAGTTTTAAAGCTGCTAGAATACTTAGTTTTTTTTATCACAAAGAATACACTAAAATTAAACAACAAATAAATGAACCCTGCATTTAATATCAAAGCCTCACTTCAATGCACACTTTTTATAAAGGCACAGAGTCCAGGAAGCGTGCTCAGATAGCATCTGCTCTGATGTGTTCACGTACAGCTTAGGAAAGCAAGGCTCAAAGCGGTGATCCAGCTTTTCCAGGATTATGTGGTGAATTGGTGGCAGACCTATGTCCCTAAACCTGCCAAATTGGCACAGTGGTCTGGAGAAACATTGTTTGCAAGACCATCTACTAGGATGCAGGGAGGGCATTTTGGAGCTTCTATTTTTATTCATTATGTAAAATTTTTCTTGTACAGGTTATAATGAACATGATATTAATGTAGTAGCATACGTATATAACTTACAAATAATTCATGAATACACACAGGTTGGGGCTGCATCCCAACACTTTTATAGTAGTAGCCATGTGTATCAAATGCTAACAATCGACCACTGGTCTAGAAACAGGATCTTCATAAATGGGAGAAGTCCCTGTGCAATTTGGGAGATCCACGGCCTTTTTTAAGGATAGGGAGAAGGGTGATTGGCCAGGTAGACTGCCACTGCATAATGTTATATAACCTTCGTCTCCTCCACTCTCCCCAGCCAGATATATTGTACATTCTGCACAGTTTGTGCTGCACAAAGAAATACAAGGAAGAGAGAAAAGTAAAGCTCGACGACAGTTCAGTCCTGGCTCCATAAGTGATTGGGAGGTGTGCTTAACAGAGTATATCCTGTAGAAATAGTACATGATATGTGTGTAAAATGTAGTGCCTTAGGAGGCACAGGGAGCCTGTAGATTCACCTGCTAAACATTTGTTATGAAAGCAAAAATAGATTAAGTAATCAGAATGTAACTTTTGCTGTCTAGGAATCCCAGTCAGAAGTTCCAGCCTGCCGCTGTTCTCTGATGCCATGCCAGCACCAACTCAACTGTTTTTCCCTCTGATCCGTCACTGTGAACTGAGCAGAATCTATGGCACTGCATGTTACTGCCACCACAGACATCTCTGCTGCTCACCCCCTTACATTCCTCAGAGTCGCCTGAGATACACACCCCATCCGGCATATGCTACCTTTTATAGGCCAAAGGAGAGCTGGTGGCAGTACACCCAAGGAAGGAGATATGCTTCCACACCACAGAAATTTTACCTTACACCTCCACAAGTCAACAGCATCCTGAAAGCTAATGAATACAGTTTCAAAGTGCCAGAATTTGATGGCAAAAATGTCAGTTCTGTCCTTGGATTTGACAGCAATCAGCTGCCTGCGAATGCACCCATTGAGGACCGGAGAAGTGCAGCAACCTGCTTGCAGACCAGAGGGATGCTTTTGGGGGTTTTCGATGGCCATGCAGGCTGTGCTTGCTCCCAGGCGGTCAGTGAAAGACTCTTTTATTATATTGCTGTCTCTCTGTTACCCCATGAGACTTTGCTAGAGATCGAAAATGCGGTGGAGAGCGGTCGAGCACTGCTCCCCATTCTCCAGTGGCACAAGCATCCCAATGATTACTTCAGTAAGGAGGCGTCCAAATTATATTTCAACAGCTTGAGGACTTACTGGCAAGAGCTTATAGACCTTAACACTGGGGAGTCGACTGAAATTGATGTTAAGGAGGCTTTGGTTAATGCTTTCAAGAGGCTTGATAATGACATCTCCTTGGAGGCTCAAGTCGGTGATCCCAATTCTTTCCTCAACTACCTGGTGCTTCGAGTGGCATTTTCTGGGGCCACAGCTTGTGTGGCCCATGTGGATGGTGTTGACCTTCATGTGGCCAATACTGGTGATAGCAGAGCCATGCTGGGTGTTCAGGAAGAGGACGGCTCTTGGTCAGCAGTCACTCTATCTAATGACCACAATGCTCAGAATGAAAGAGAAGTGGAACGCCTGAAATTGGAGCACCCAAAGAATGAGGCCAAGAGTGTGGTGAAACAGGATCGGCTGCTTGGCTTACTGATGCCTTTTAGGGCTTTTGGAGACGTAAAGTTCAAATGGAGCATTGACCTTCAAAAGAGAGTGATAGAATCTGGCCCAGACCAGCTGAATGACAACGAATATACCAAGTTTATCCCTCCTAATTATTACACACCTCCTTATCTCACTGCTGAGCCAGAAGTAACTTACCACCGATTAAGGCCACAGGATAAATTTCTGGTATTGGCGACTGATGGATTGTGGGAGACAATGCATAGGCAGGATGTGGTTAGGATTGTGGGCGAGTACCTAACAGGCATGCATCACCAACAGCCAATAGCTGTTGGTGGCTATAAGGTGACTCTGGGACAGATGCATGGCCTTTTAACAGAAAGGAGAGCCAAGATGTCATCGGTATTTGAGGATCAGAATGCAGCAACCCATCTAATTCGCCATGCTGTGGGCAACAACGAGTTTGGGGCTGTTGATCACGAGCGCCTCTCCAAAATGCTTAGTCTTCCTGAAGAGCTTGCTAGGATGTACAGGGATGACATTACAATCATTGTAGTTCAGTTCAATTCTCATGTCGTAGGGGCATATCAAAACCAGGAATAGTGAGTGGATCTTACCCTGGCAGTTCTCACATGAAATAGATTTAAAGAGCAGATAGATTTTTAAAAGATACTAATATAGTAAACATTTCCAGTGGGTCATTCTAAGCATTTCCCCATTTGATACTCTAGTCAGCCAAGTAGTCCAAGTTGACTTTGTAGCCAGGTGGCAGGATCCTGAGTCTCCTTCTGCTTAGCTCGGACCTCACAGCACTTGCAGTTGAGGCACGTCAGTTCCTTACTGCAGATGTCTTATGACATTGGCTTCTTTTTTCAACCTGAGAAAATCAGGATGACCTTACAAACAGGATCTTGAATAGGCCCAAGGCAAGGAACTTGCTGGGCATATTCTCTTGGTAAAATGAAAAAACATTATTCACACCTGCAGACCCCTTTCATCACCAAGATTCCACTGTACATGAGAACATTTATTTATTGCATGATCTCCTAGATATACAGCCTATGCATTATTCATATAACTTTATTTTAACCTGAAGTAGTTTTCAAATCCAGTGCTTTAAGCCATAAAGGACCGAGAACCAAGTAATCTGAATTTGTGAGTGCTTATTTGACTGGAATCCTGCTTAAATGGAAAAACAAACGCTACCCCCTTCCCCACCCCTGATTACCTAATGTGATTGAAACATTTTCTGTCTTGCCACACACTTGAAGACAATAAAGGTATTTAGTTTTATCTACTCTTATTGATGTTAAATAAGGGAAAAATAATTTTTTCAGTTTATATTAATGAAAAGCTTTATTTAGTTTGAAATAAAAGATCCAGAATGAAGAGAAGAGACTGATATGTTCAATTACTGTCATCTGCAGCCACCAGCACGTCACTCTTATCATGTAATCCCCCGAAGCGTGGCATGCTGTGTGTGCTGGGTAGACTGCTGCTGGGAAATCATACTTCTAATTTAGTAGTGATAATAATTTTCATCACTTTTGGACTTTTAAGGATGACACATATAAAATAAATTTAAATATATAATTTTGGGGAGTAAGGTTTAATATTACCTTCGGGTGCTGAAATGAGGAGGAAGTTTTTTGTTTTTCCCCACTTAGATGTAGGTCAATTAAAATCATTGGTTTAAAAATTACTAAATGCTTTAAACATATTGCAGCTTATAAATAGGAATGTTAAGATATATACATGAGAAATTTTTAAAGGTAACTATTGTGCATGCCTCATGCTTAATGGAACACTTAGCAGCATCAAGTATTGTTTGCAGCAGTCGCCATAATTATATGCAGTCTCTTCCAATGCTGTATCAAAGTAAATGAAAATAAATATATTCAAATTGGCTTTTTGGGAGCTTATTTAATATGCATCAAATGGCATTTTGTTCCCGTGTTTAATGGTGATCCATGTACAGCTGTGCATATATTTTCATCACTTATTGTAGCATCACTGATAAAAGAATGGCTATGACTATGTTTGATTTTCACATAGATTTTAATACAAAACATGATCAGTTTTCCCTTGTGTAATTAGCTGAGAGGTGTTTAGGTCCTTTCGGATTTCTGTAGAATATGAACTAGATATCCAAGGACTCCCTCTGGACTGTGGACACTGAAGCAAGGTAGAATTGGCTGCAAAATTTGTTCCAATTGAAAATAGACTCAGGAAGATTGCAGCTTAGAAGACCATATGTTTGTTTTCTGAGGTCTATTTTTTTTCCTTTTTTTTTTTTCCTTTTTTTTTTTTCCCTTGAGTCAGCTTGGAACTTTCCTCCCAGGCAGTATTTTGGAGGGGGAAAAGCTATTGTACTATATACTTATTTATAAATGTTTCGACAGAGACTTCATCTTTTAATGAAATATATGTAGAATGCAGTAGCAGTTAAAACTCATTTTCAGGCTACTATTTGAATTTCTCTGGAACACCACCACTAAAGAGTTCCACATTATCTTATACTTAGTAAAGTCTCGTCTCTATATAGTACAGTATATATAAATTTGGTTTCCCATGGTCATGATCAAGATAGTAATTCTTATTATTACACAGGAAACTTGGTCTGCAGTCCAAAAGCCTGTCTACTCTCTATAGAAGTGAAAATGCAGTGTGGAGTTAACAGTATGGAAATGAAAATAATGAAAATGAAAATAATTGGATGTTAGAAATATGAATATTATCATCTAAAAAAAGTTGAGATTTTATTATAATTGGTTGTCACTGTGATTTGATATCTAGAATTAAAGAATATGTGTAAACTTTCATGGTATTTAGCCTTAAACTTTTTTTAATTTATACTTTCTAACATATGTATCAACTTCTGTATTTAGTCAGTGGCTCATGGTATTTATAATACGTCCTTAGCTAGTTAAATGGGATGGTGGTATGGTACACAGTACTTGGGGAAAACAACTGTCTTGTATCTGTGTGAAGAAATGTGAAAAGTTCATATATAATATAGAGAATGGTCAGAGAAATGCCCACAGTGAATTAAAGCTTCATATCTGCTTTCTGAATGACCTGTGTTGGTTTTTAATTAATAGTAAGATTCATTAGATGCTTTCTAACTTTAGGATCCTCTAGATAGATAGTACTTAAAAAAAAAACTAGGGTATAATTTACATTCAGTAAAATGCACAAGTTTTAAATGTGTAGTTTGAGATTTGGTAACCACAACCCCAATAAAGATATAGAACTTTTCCATTACTCCAGCAGAAAATTCCCTCATGCCACTTTCCAGTTAATCCTTCCCCACAAAACTATTGTTCTGACTTCTATCACCATAGACCAGTGTTACTTGTTCTAGAAATTCATACAAATGAAATCATATAATATGTACTCTTTTGTATCTGACGGTTGTTCATTTTTTTGAGGTTCATTTATGTTGAGTGTATTCATAGTCTCTTCCTTATTACCAAGTAGCATTCCATAGTATGAATATATCACAATTTATCCATTGTTGATGGGCATTATTAGCCCCCTTCCTCTCCCCTTTTAGAGCTAACTTTTAGGTTAGCAATTCCCAGGGATATTATTTGGTTGAAGTATAGATTTAACATTGCAGATGTGATTGATTACAGGTGAGTTTTATGTTCCGTACCTTAATGCTAGGACTTTTTAAAAAATGGCCTTTAAACAAGTGATGAAAATGTTTCATGGTGAAAAATTTGGAGGGATTAGGGAGTGGTCCTTTGCTAATGACCTCTCTGTACCTCTCCCACTGATAATCTTGTTGAGTTGATTTAGTTCATTAAGTGAGCTAATGACTATCCTATAAGAAAAAGACAAATAATACCTCGGTTTTTGATGGTCCTGGTTTATCACTCCATCGGCCATTGCTGTGATTAGGGTTGGGGAAGGAAGTGGCTTAAATGCTGGCTGTTAAGTTAGGACTGGGATGGTGTAGCTGACTTGAATATCTCTGCTTTTATTAAACTAAATTAATACTTCCTAGAACAAGCTTTCCTGCTCACTAGTCAAACACATGCCTGAATATGGGTTATTGTTAGCTCTGTCTTTGGGTATAGCAAGAGGGTCTAGGTAACTGCTATCCTTAGTCTGTAGGTGAACATACCTTAATTATGATCTTTATCATAAATAAAACAATTGCTATTCACTATAGAATTTTTCAGATCGTCAAAAGCTGAGGCCTGGGCAAGCTGGGTAAATGAAGACGTTAATGGTATCTGAGTTAACTTGTTACAGTATGAAGGTCACTTCCTTTGTTCCATTCAGAGTTTACTTTGAAAGCCAAGCTTAATCTTATTAAATCCAGTCAGCCCGGTTCTTATGACAAAATTTATACCTTGGATTGAATCCTAACAATACACAGTATTGTCTTCTAAATAGCTTTCAAATTATAAGTCTTCAAAGTAAATATATTAAGAATGATGAAATTCATGCATTTCATGTGCCATTAATAACGATTATCCAATGCATATATTTTAAGGACCACACAATTTAGACTCAGTTATGTAGCCAATATTTAGGTTCGTAAAATATGCACATATCTGGTTTAAAATTGTTCTAATTTTTAACTTTACCTTGTTTGTCCATCAAGATTTTCAGTTCTTTAAGGTCAGGGCCCGTGGATTTTGTTTCTCTCTCTGAGCCAACACAATGTTGAATAAAAAATGTTCTGCATCCACTTTATTGTACATTAGAGACATACCATCAAGTAAAAAAAAAAAAAAACCTAAGTGAACTTTAAGAAATTCTTCATTCGTCAGAAGTTAACATCAATCTAGATGCAGAGAAATAATTTATTCCTGAAATTTAGTTTCATTTTTATAGTTAAAAGTCAATGATTTCTAAAAATTGAACTAGTTTCCTGTTGCAAAGAATATTCAAAAGAAAAAAAAGTAGCGCTATACAAATTGGCCCATCACACCTTTAGCCCTCGACGGGAGAATGCTTCTTGTGTTCATTGGGAGAGACCGCAAAGACTCAATAGTCAAGCGAGTCAATCGGACCCCAAAAGTCAGTTCATTTCCCCCAGTAAAACTTTGCTAACTGGTCCCCATCTAACCCTTGCCCTCTTCCCCAGCTCCTTTTGTACACACGGTGGGAGGCGTGCCCTCTGAGGGCCTGCGAAGAACTTTAGCTGTTGTTTGGAAGCACCTGGCACCCAGCTCCAAAAGAGCTCAGTAATTCACGTCACCTTCCTACCCCAAGGGAGCCGTAAGACCCTTCCCTAGAGTCACACCTCTCCTCTCTTCTAAGCCATACCCAGTTCACTGATGTACTTCCTGCCTGCATCACATGCTCAACCAACCCAAACAATCAGATTTTACTACAGTGCAAGGAGGTTAGTGATCCTATTCAGCCTTTCAGAAACCTCAGACCTGGAGCACTGAGCCACCAGCAGCAGCCAAGAAGAGTCAAAGAACCAAAGATTTTATCTCACCTGCGGTGATTGAATCAATCTGTCTCCTTGAAGGACAAGACCAATTTGATTGGCTGGCAGTGTTGACTAAGAGGCGAGCCTTCAAGCATAAAAGCTGAGAAGAATGGGAAACGTGACAGATCTAAGGGAAAGAAAAGAAAAGGCGAGAGAAGGAAGAGAGTGGTGTGATTAGAGGCAGTAATGGGGGCAGGGAGCATCAGATCCTCTGACTCCTTGGACCAGTGACAGGGATGAAAGCAAAGCAGAGGAAAAACAGCAGCCAGCTGAATAGTGGTGACATAAAGGATTGAAAAAACACTTTTAAGCCCTTATGAAATCATGGATTTTATGCTAGGGCAGCAGCAGTTGGAATGCAAGGCAGTTTCCATTAGCGTGACCATTTTGTCTTGGCTCATTAGATAAGAGGGAAAAAAGAAAGTCTTTGACCACATGGAAAGGGAAACTGACCAGATGGACAGTTTTCTCAAAGGAACGTTGCTTAGAAATTATTTTTTCTTGCTCCAAATCTGGGGACAAGTTAAAAAGCCTAATTTCACCTGATGAAAACAGAGACTAGATCATTAAAGCCCTGGTGTCAGTAGAAACAGAGCTGTGAGACTGAGCAGACCAGAGAGAGTAGGTTACTAAACCAAGCCTCCTGACTGTGGGGTCACACACCTATGGCTCTTGCTTAGATGGCAAGATGGCTTCAGGTATAACGGGAAAGTCCAGTGACCTCGCAGCCTTAGTAATGCTAACGGTAACCACGATTACTGTTTCTCGAGCACTTACTATGTGCCAGGTCCTGTGGAAAATATACTCTGTGTTTTCTCATTTAGTACTTGTGCTGCTAGTCTCTGTTTGGCCCCTCAACCCCTTCTCTAAGCCATCTCTGCCCTGCCCTGTGTGCCTGGAAGCTCCTCCAGGCTGCACCTCCCAGGCTTTCTCGTCTTTTTTTTTTTTTGGCTGCGTTGGGTCTTTGTTGCTGTGCGCGGGCTTTCTCTAGTTGCAGCGAGCCAGGGCTACTCTTTGTTGCATTGCACGGGCTTCTCATTGCAGTGGCTTCTCTTGTTGCAGCACGCAGGTCCTAGAACACGCGGGCTTCAGTAGTTGTGGTGCACGGGCTCAGTAGTTGTGGCTCGCGGGCTCTAGAGTGCAGGCACAGTAGTTGTGGCACACGAGCTTAGTTGCTCTGCAGCATGTGGGATCTTCCTGGACCAGGGATCGAACCTGTGTCCCCTGCATTGGCAGAAAGATTCTTAACCACTGCGCCACCAGGGAAGTCCCTCGCTTGTCTTGTGATTATCATTTCCATTCAACCAGTGGGTAGCACCAGCAGGTGATTGGAGGGTGGGATGAGAGAGATGCTGGGCTAGTTCTTCCTAGCTCTCTCCATGTTTCAAGTAACATCTCCAGCCTTAGCTGTGTCCCTCCACACTATAGCCCCTTAGGGCTGCACCTCTTCCACACTTCCGGTTCTCAGTGGGCTCAGGTCACGCTATTCCTCCCTTTGTCCTTTCAGCCTTAGGGATGGTAAAGACTTCCTACTACTGCTCGTCTCTGGGTGCCTCAACAACCCTGTCTGTTCCCTCATCCTTGCTCACACCTCCGTGAGTAATCCGTTCATTTGAACAATGTAAGGTGAAATCAGTTTCCTACCAGGACCTGACCAATACAATCCTTAAAACAAACTGAAGTATGATTTCCCCTATTTTACCTAGTGCAAAGAGGCACGGTAGCTTGTCCAGCATCACACACCAAACAAAGCCATACCTGTGTATTCCAAAGCCTGCATGTTTAATCACGTCACATTGCCCAGCCTCTCCGTGATCCCTTTGGAATTGAGAAGACCCGAGGACTGTCAAGTGGCCAATAGTCAAGTGAGCCCTTGCAAAGCTGAGATAACGATCCTCAGAAGAAGCAGCAAAGACTGATGTAGGCCAGCAGTTAGTCTAGCACGTGGGGAATGGAGCCACCCACAGAGTGTGCCAAGTGAGGAGTGCATTGCAGTGTCCAGGTATGCAGTTCCTCAGTTTCCCAATTCATTTGTTGAAATCTCCACGGTGGGAGATGAGGTAGAAAGATAGGAACTGCAGAAAAAGCCTTGGGTAGATAGTACATTTGAGCCTTGAACGAGAAGGGGACTAGGGGCCCCAAACCTCCCAGCATACAGGAAAATCCGGATATAACTTACAGTCAGCCCTCCATATACTTCATTCCTCCAGATCTACGGTTCCTCTGTATCTGTGATTCCACATCTGCAGATTCAACCAACCATAGATCAAGTAGCACTGTCGTATTTACTGTTGAAAACTATCCACATACAAGCGGACTTGCACAGTTCAAATCCTTGTTGTTCAAGGGTCAACTGTACACAATGGCCATAGCATCCTTGCAGCTAGCATACATTTAGGGAACTACTTGAGGTGGCAAAGACTAGCCAAGCAGGCATGGGATGCAAGAGTTGGTAGAGGCAGGGGTGGGAGGAAGAAGTACAAAACGATGTTAGCCAGAGCCATGCCAGGCTGAAATCTGGCTTCTAGCTACTCATAGGTGGGAGACTTGCCTAATTCTAAATGAGGAAGGATTGGTGGTTAGGCAAGAGAACATCTTTGTGATTCACATATTGCC